GGTGTGAAAAAGAGGTCATCCAGAATTTTTAACCCCGAGATTATGATCTAGAAGGGGAAAAAAGCCATTTTTTAAAAAGAGCCAATTAAAAAAAAACATGAGGGGGGAACTGCTTTTTCAAGATGTTCTGTCTGTACCTTACGCTGCTAGATATTTTTAAGCTGTTTTCACCAGGCAAAAGAACATCAAACAGAAAGTTACTATGAGACCGTGGGATTTGGCAGTTGTAAATTTCCGTAAGAATTCCTCTTGGAAAGTTGTTTTCTCCCACCGCTCAAAAAACAATGAAGATATTTTTGAACTGGCCAGTATTTTCTGCTTCGAGGTATACTACTATTTAAAAAGACAGAACTATTATATTGTAGATAATGATACTGTATATCACAATTCTTTGAAGCAATTTAGGAAGTGAATGCCGCCAAAAGTCTCCTATCCTTCAAATCTGCTACATGAGAGAATGGGATTTTGTCTAACATAGTCCAGTTTATGAACCAGAATGTGGTTCTGGTTCATACTACTACTAACCAAATCCTAAGACTCAAAATCCAGTGACTTCAATTGGCGAAATCCCACTGAGCCCAGTTTCCCCACTTTAAGTGAATTGGTGACTGGGAAGTTTGAGGAGGTGTTTAGTGACCACTAAATAGGTATAATTTCCTTGGAGACCCTGCAGTGGTTAATAAATTGCAGTCTCGGAACAAGTTAAGGTGAGTGTGTATGGGGGTGGGTGGGAATAGTTCCTTTTTTGTGCTTGTTAAGTGCTTTGGGAACCTTTTAGGTCTCCATTCTCTTGAAAGAAAAACTGTCTTCCAAGTATGGGTCTCTGATTTTTCTTTTTTTGGATAAATTGGTCTGGCTCTCTTAAAGAAACACCCCCCCCAAAATGAGCAAAAATAACTACTTCCCTTCAAAATGGAATGCTGGACTAGTGTTGAGCCGCCTTGAGAGGATATATGGGGATGACCTACATCCTCACTTTAAAAAGAGAAGAAATGAAAATTAATACTTCCCTGGATAAAACTCCAACGTACAGAAGGCAAATGGCTTTTGCAGATCTTCTTGTGTGGTTTTCTTCACTGGGGAATCCCGCAAAGCCCTGGTTTCTACTTCAGGGGAATTCTCCTGAAGTCATTTTGGTATAAATTTATACACTCCAGAAAATTATATACTCAGCTGCTGACATGCCTCATAATTATTTATAGAAGGTGCCTGAGGATTTTCTAGGAATATATTTATTACAGGTAAAACATGGACAATTTATCTTGCAAAACATTGAACAGGTGTTTCCTTTCAATTAATGTTCGGTAGATTTCATAGCTACTTAATTTTTTTAACCCCATCCCTAAGAACGACCAAAAATGCCTGCTTATCCATCAGTTATTTAAACCCCCACCAATCAAGAAAATTTGTTCTTACCTTTCCACAATGGCCTTAAATTATGACAGAGAGAGAGAAAGAGAGAGAGAGAGAGAGAGAGAGAGAGAGAAATAAAGAATAATTTGGATGTTACATACACTGTGAAGACTGACCTCAGTGGTACAATGTTCATAAGACATATTTGTGCCTTGGTGACATTTCAAACAAGTTATTATTTGAAATGAGAACATTTTTCCTCCAAAGAACAAATAAGTAAGTTAAGTCATATCAGCTTAATACCCATGAACAGAGAGAATAGTAAGCAGAAGAAACTTAACATTCCAAATATTTAGAGGGGAAAAGAAATTGAAACTGAATACTTTTGAAACTCTTGCATTTTCCTTCCTAAATAATTCAGCTTTGCACATAAATATATTCTTTTTTCTTCCACTTTGCTTTAAAGGGGAAGAAGCTCCAGCAAATTTAATTTAAATACTCTTGGCTGTATAATGCTACAAATACTTACCTGACAATAAGCCCCCTGAACTCAGTAAACATGCCTAATATTCAGACTGAAAACGAATGTCCTATTTTCTGGGAGCGAACCTGGGGCTGGGAGTGAACCCAGGGCTGAATTTGGGTTAGATATACATACCTATATATCTATGCAGGATTAGCTGAACTTTCAAGCCAGACTGAGGATTAGGCACCTAGTTTAACTCACCAATTGAAACAAATCAATGGGAAAATACTTGACAAAATATGCTGAAGGTTGCAGTCCTAGGTGGACTTGCTTAGAAGTAAGTTCAGGGGAAGCACCCAGACTTGAAGAGAGGAGAATGGAAAGTGCACTAGAAAGGCTTCCTTCTCAGAATTCTTTAACTCTACTGGAAAAGACAAGGAATCTGAAAAGGAATGGAATGGAAACAGGCTTTGGGTACTGGTTTCTGGTGTTATTCGAGAAAACTCCAAGAGAAAAGGAACTTCAGTTTAGCCTCCTTCTCTGCATATATTGTGACTTGTACGAATGCAGCTGGCCTAACTTCTCTTTCCTTATTTCCTCCTCAACCTCTCTTATCGGATCTACCTTTTCTCTATCAACACTCCTAACGGATTTCCTTGAAAGTGGTTTTCAGTGGTTTGCAAAGAATTTACCTCCTACTAAGGATTGTCAGAACGGGGGGGGCACCTTGTCTCCCTCGCTCTTCGGGTCTCACATTATTTCTTTTTCTTTTAATCGGTACCGGGAAAATAATTTTCTTGCTATCTACTTATTGGTCTATAGGTCTGTCTGTCTGTCTATCTGCTGTCTGCCCGCTGGTGCTTTTTTTGCCCACCGATACGTTCCTTCATTTATCTCTTGCCCGACTACCTGCCCAGATAATATGTTTGTGCGCAGTTACCCATTTAAAGGCGCGCATCCTCTCCATCCCTTAGGAGCAGAAGGCTTGAGGGGAAAGGACAGTTTTCTTCCCCATGTGCCATGTAGTGATTTTCGCGGTGACAACGACGCTTTATGAGCCTCAGTACTAGGCATTCAATGCGAGCAATTGTTCTTTACAATTCCGGGTGGGAAATTCCTTCAGCCTTCCACAGTTCCACGAGATACCTTTTTGTCTTTACCAATTTCCAGCTTTAGTTTTAAAATACATCTCTTCCCTTTTCCTTTCTGTAAGTGCTGAAAAAGTTGAGGACTGCTCCGGTTAAAAACCTCCCTCTAACACTTCCTGTCCCCTGCGAAAGAAAACTGAATACACAGCGTTGCAAAACACGAATTTACAATAGGGCATTATGTGAGCTACTTGACAGAGACATACAACTCTCTCCACAACGCACTTAAGCCGAAACACCTTGGCCTGATGCAGTTTAGTTCTTCAGACACACTATGCAGTCCTAAACATACTTGAAAGTAAACTCTACCGAGAATGCATAAGCATACACATACAGGTATTTAGGGTCTGGCCTGTCAGTCCATACGCCACAGCGACTGACTGGAATGGGACTCCTCTGGAACAAATGCGTTGTCAGATTTATTGTGGGATCATTGACTGAAATCCAGAAGGTTTTGGCTTAACTGGATTGGATCCGGAGTATCAAAAAGGTTGTGGAGGAAGAGAGGAAGACGTTCAAGACACCCCCTGGCTCTTTCTTATTCTTTTTTCTTTAAACCACCCTCCTTTTCCACAGGCAGTAAATTCAAGGCTATAAAAATCAAAGAAAGCTAATGTAAGTTTTATTCAACTATTTAACCGTCTCAAGCCTAACGCCTTCTGTAAGGAAACAAAGAGATCCGTACCCGGATTGGACATTTTACAAGGGTAGTAAAATTAAAGTGCGTGTATATGGCGGGGAGGGAAGGAGCCAAGGAGAATGTTGATTCCACCAAGGCAACCCCTCCTCTCCATGGCGGTGAAAACAAACCTGCTAACTGCAGGGTGGACTCAATATAGCGTTTACCTGTTTCTGGGAATCGGATGTTGATATACACTCCAGTGAACAAAGTAAGCGAATTATTGCTCTGCGAGATCTGTTACGTTATATCCACATGTGTTTATATTACATACACACATACATAAACACACACACACACACACACACACACAGAGAGAAAACTTCAAATGCAGATAACTGTAGACATAGATATAGATAGAGCGCTGGTACACCCACGTGTGCTGGGGGGACTGTATTTTTTAATTATATGCTTATCGTATATCTACTATGGTTTTCACTACAGGCGATAGATTTCTCTGAGGCATACATAATGTACATGCAAATACACACCCGTACAGGCTCACAGGCATATATAATAGGAAGGTGGCAGTGTTTAATATGTACGTAACGCACGCCGGTATTATTGTATAGAAGCCTCTGACAAATAATGTTAAACGAAAGAGAGGGAAGCAAGAAAATCAGGAAATCGTCCGAGGCTAAAAATTCTACTGACAGTTTAGTTACGATCCACCACCCTCCTATTATCTGCAATAATAACCGTAATAATCATAATAAGAGATATCTATCCCTCGTCATGTATACAAGCAAAAGGCATGCATTATAACACTGTAAGGCATTTATCCCCCCCTTTTTTTCTCCCAGAAAACTTGATAGGAAACAGGAACGAGGTGTATATTGTTATTTTCCTCTCAGGTAAGTAGCCTTGGCGTATATGGGAAGAAAGCCAGCCTAGTGGATCGATCTGGGGGGTGGGATACTGGGTGCTGGAAGGAGAGAAATCCTCAGGAAAGTATTAATGAAAGCAAAGAAGCGAACACTCAGCCTCTCTTTTTCATGTTTTAGAAGTCTTCCCCCCCCC